CACGCGTACTCCGAGCTTTCAAACCGATCCGCCATCCGTTCCCATTCACCCTCCCACAGTATATATTGGGCCGAAGGTCGCACCCACGCCCACGCGTCCCCTTATCTCCTCCCTTTTGCAAAGAAACAGTTCACAACTTAACAAATTTCGCACACAGGAACTTGTTGAACCACTGCACGTCTAATACAAATACTGAAGGTTGTTTATTGTATTACACGCAGCTGTTTTTTTTCCCTGGTGCTTCTCACGGCTGCATGAAATGTGCCCGAATAAATGAGCACGTGCGTTACCCATAGTGCGTTCCTCCATCGTTCTGTTGAAGTGGGGACGCCATGGCTTTACACAATGCTTGTTTAGCATCTACATCCTCTTGCCGGTCGACCCGAGACTAACAGGCCGCGTGTGAACGTGTGCCTCTGTTTCTCCATCGGCTCCAGCACAGTCGCGTTGGACGCTCCGTCACTCACATAGCAGTTTTTACCGCTGCAGTCCTTTAGGGACTGCTGATTCAACTGTGGTAAAGCAATGACACGCAGAAGGACGGTGTATCTTGTGTACCTGTTTTGTGATGGAATGAGTGCTTTTGCACTCAACTATCTGCAGACATTTGGAGCAACTGGCAGTAAACGCAGTCTACGGGTGATTAAATCACTATTCAATACAGATTCTGTTATCTGACTGCGGAGACGTGACGCTGTGTTAATTGAAGCAGCAGTATAGAGATTTTGTTTTGTATGTCCGGGTGGCTACAAAGAGCTGGACCGGGAGCATAAACAACGTCCTCTTAACCCGGTGAGACAGTGGACACTTTTAAATGAAGCCATACCGGCCACACCGTGTGACGCGTTGTTATTCCGCCAAGCCTTTTTTTTTGTTTCGTTTTATAAGACAACTTGGCACTGCCATCCCGCGTCGGCTCCTGCTCTCGCATTAGCACCCACCGCTTGCCAGAGTGCCCATTTTGTGTAATTATACGAACTGCGGCGAGCTAATGGCCCTGACTGAGTCGCGCCTGGGCCCATTACACATCAGGATGCTGTGAAACACCATTACCGCCGTCAGGCAGCCGCGTGCGTGCGAGCTGCCTCATCTCCGGTGCGTGCGCTCATGAAGGTGCGACGGTTGAAGGAGGTGGAATAACACGTGTCAAAAGGAGTGGTCGCTGTCTTTTCGGGCGTGTGTCCTTGTGTGTGGCCTCGGCCATTGCGTTAATGGTCCCTGAAGTAATATTTCCCTATTTTACTCCATTTGAGGCTCGGCCTCCTTTAATTAATGGTCGTCCCTCAACTCAAATGAAGCGCGCGACAAAGTTTCACTCGGCGTCTGCGACCCCGGCTCGGCTCTGCTTCGCCTTTGGGTTGCCGCGTGTGCTCTTTCTTCTTCTTCTGCTTCTTCTCCTTCTTCCTCCGCTCCCGCGCGGGGTTCCCCGCAGTGCGAACCCGCAGTTCACCCTCATTAATTCAGGCGGGAGGGTCCGCCACGGAACGCCGCGCACGTGCAGGGGGCCGTTGAGGATGGACCGCATTAACGCGGCTCGGATGCGGGTTAAAACGATAACCGCGCGCACTACCCGAGTGTTCCTTACACGATCCCAATCACTTTTATGAAGAGAGAGCAGAGTCTATCGACAATCTGCCTTCACCTCACTATCAATAGCCATTAACCACTTTAAGACTTGGCAGGCTCAGGCGGCAGAGCTAATTGCTTCCCTTTGTAGCCTACTGTATACGGCGATGGTGGATCAATGTGTTTGTTAGTATTGTGGGATAAACGGATATTCATGGCCGGATAACCGTAACCTCCCCCCCACATACACACACACACACACACACACACATAAACGACGTACACACAGACGCCTGCCTCGCCTGTACCTTTAACTAACCGTGTCATCTCTTTCGCTGCGTTATTCCTAACAGCCACACACACACACACACACACAGTAACAAACAGACTCGCTCTCAGACCTTTACGACCCACCAACACGGGCGGATCATACATCGACCGTAATGCAGATTCCTCTCCGGCACAGATGCACCCACACTCGTTTCGCGCAAACACTTGAGGCCTCTCAGCGTGTAGTGTTGCCACCTGTGTGGAGGGGAGCGAGTGCACCCCCCCCCCCCCCTCCCTCCCCACTCACACACCTGACAGCGAGATGTATGCGATTAAACCGTATTAAAGTCATTAGCCCAACAGACGTGATAGCCAGCAGATGGCTGCTGGAAATACGCTTCTAATGAAGCTGCTCAGTCAAGTACGGGTGTGTTTGTGTGGCGGACAAATGCGTGAGCGTGCGCGCACCTGACGTGTGCACGTTTGTTGCCGTGTGGTTGCACCGCGGCTGTGGATTAGACGCCCATGGCGGTTTGTCTGGACGTACCGTGTGGAGGCTGAAAAGGATGATTATTATATAATGTTTCTATCATCAATAGCAGAGTATAGTTATATATTGCACATGACATTTGTTTTAAAGAGGACAACGTTCTTCACACACAAAGCCCAAAGTGCACCCTATTGGTGGATTTAAGAGAATTTAGGGGGAAAGTTCTTGCCCATAATACAGATGTCCTGATGCAAAGCAATGTACACTAAGAAGACACGTTGCTTTATATTCATTGTAGAGGTATTTCATTTTTATTTTGGCGAGATTTTAAGTGATTTACACTATTGCTGCTGTCATTCCAATTATTATTATTATTATTGTTTTAAAACAACAAGCAAAAAGCAAAAGCACTGATCAAATCCCGCTAAGCCTTCAAAACTCATTTTTAAAAACCAAGGAAACTCTTTCAGCGCGGCAATGCTCCTCCGCATATGTTATTTCCCCCACGAGTCATGTTTACCCAGCATACATTGCTGTGATTCTGCTTTTTATTCATATTATTTCACCCTGAAGAGCCTGCGGCCGTGCAGTACGGTACGGGAGGTACACGGTGTCTCGCCCCCGGTGCCATGCACAGGAACCTTAACATACTCACTCATTAACAACGCAGTTGAATTATCTCTAATACAAAACACTTCTCTGATGGCCGTATTTCTCGTCTCCTTTTGAACCTGCTCCCTCTTTTGTTCTACTTAAATGAAATATTTGTTGTTTGCGTCGAGCTCAACGTGCCCGACAGATGTTCAGCGGCGCCTCTCTGTTTCCTCGAGCATCTGATTGTGGCCACGTGAGCAAACGTGCTGACGCGCAGTCCTTCAGCTGGGAGCCACATTGGTGCCTTTTTTTTTCATGGGGTGAAAGTCTGTGTGTGTGTGTGAGAATGTGAGAGAGGGTGAGTGATGAAAGGGAGATGTGGAGGGAGGGAGCGGGGGGGGGGGGGAGCTGAAAGTGATACTCTATTGAATACAGATGAGAGACAGGCGAGCTGAATCCCAATCAGGGTGCCTCCTCCGCTCTTTGCTACGCTGCTCTTCCCTCAACGCAGACAAGAAAATATAGAAATCTTTCTGAGAAGCGCTTCTTTCTCAACCGAAAAGTCCGGCCTGTCAGGGTCACGGTCCAGGCCTTCGTCTGTGAAAAGCGATATATAACAGATGCCCTCGGTTTTTACAGGGCAGAATAAACAAGCAGCTAGATTTTGACGGTATTGATGATGAGTCTGATCCTGCTTTTTTACGTTTGACCACATCCGTTTAAGCGGCGCTCAATCGCAGCCTTTGACTTTAAACACCACCACCTCTGGACAAAGGGTCAAAACATATTTAGTACGTGTCGAAACCGAGCTCCACCTTTTTGAACTTTTTAACAGCGTGCGGAGACTCTGCCAATCCGTGAAATCTGACCAGGACGGCAGATTTGAGCTTAATTAGGTGAAGAAAACTTGTTCTTTTCCACCCTCCCTCGAATGCAAATGCTTTGCGTTGAGAAGTCACCGGGGTCGTCTCCTCGGCTCATTAAAAACGTGCGAGGAAGGCAGGAAGAGTAATTAACGGCGCCAAACAAGATACCAAAAAAAAGGGCCTCGTCACGGTGTATATTTTGTGTAGTTTGACTCTTTCCTTCGGCTAACGGCGGCTCCTCTCGGGCTCGGGAGGCAGATGAGTGTCGACACCACCGGACCCGGCGCCGCTGGTCCTTTCGGTCCGATTTATCAACACGGCGATTGGTTGTAAACCCCGTTGTCTCGGCAGTGATTTCAGCCATGATGATGAAAGCGCCCGCTACGCAAAATCGGTCTGTCTCCCGGCTAACCCTCTCTCATTCCCCTTTGAGAGAGAGAGGCATTAGATGGCTAGATTAAACTAGAGAGAGAGACAGAGAGAGCTTCTACTAACATAGTAACAAATCAAGAAGGGGGGGAAGGGTTTAACCCCCCCTGAATTCCATTTGCCCTTGTTTCCCCCCCCCCCCCCCCCCCCCTCCTCCTCTTTAATCCCGTTCTCTCACAAATGTTAGAAAACCACTTGGAGTTAATAACATCTGTGTCGCCCAGGAAGAGGCAGAAGGCAAGTGGAAGTCTGCCTGTCTGCTGCACCAACATTCCCCCAGCAGGGTCTATACTTTGTGGGCCCCCAAATGCTACCGCAGCTTCTAATAATGCTGTCGAGCCCTTTAGGGAGTCCAACGTAGTTTTTGGGTCCTGTCGTTTTCCAGAAAAAAATCCTTTTTTGCTGCCCACCATGGCTGGTGTGAGCGTGTGATTGGTATCTGGGGGTTACGGGGTCCTGAGGGGAGGGAGCTGTGTGTCGGTGCGGTGCGTTTTCAACCAACTCAATTTTTTTCTGTTTTGGTTGTTTGATCATCACACATGAGAAAATAGTGGAGGAATGGCCACTGCAACTCACCAGACCTCGAAGGGGGCATCTTGAATCGTGTCGTTCTGGCTGCCCAACAACCCAAAGCCCGATGATGTTCCACAAGCATTTAGATGAAACACAAGGAAATGCTCACTTTAGAAAAGCTGCAATCCTTGATTGTTTCCCTTACACAGTGAATCCATGCTGCAAATGATTGATTTAGCTCTAATTGTTGCCATTTGTTTCCCCTCCAACAGGGTTTGATGATCCTCCTGCAGAACCTACCCACGATGCACTGGGGCAACGAGGAAGTGAGCGTCCTGCTGGCCGAAGCCTACAGGTTGAAGTTTGCCTTCGCCGACGCGCCCAACCACTACAAGAGATGATGAGCGTGGCTGCGTGCCGCCCCTCCTCTTCCTCCTCCTCCTCCTCCTCTTCCCCCGCAGTCTGCTGAACTACGTGGCCTCTGTTCCTACAGGGAAGGACCTCCCCTTTTTTCGTAACCTCCCTTTCCCATTTAGCTACTAAGAGATTTGAATCAACCGACGGCCAAGAGGACGTGTGGCGTAGCATTTTAACGTGACGATGTGCAGTGCAGCCTTTTTTTTTTTAAAATCATTTTTCTCCGATGTGCGCCGCCTTCATCCCTGACGACCATGATTTAATCTTTTTTGGGGGGGGGCGGGTGGGTGTTTCTTACTGACTGACTCCTCAGTGAGTACGAGCCTCAGGACCAGGAGCTCAACACCACCAGAAATGCCATTATCTTTTTTTTGTCTTGTTTCCCTTTGGCCAAAAGTGTGACCTTCCTCGGCCAAAGGGCAGCGCACTGTATGGTTTACATATCAGAGCCCGCGCTCCCGGTCCCAACGCCACCAGGAGGAACATGACCTCTCCTGTTTTCTCCTCTTTTTTTTCCCTCCTCCTGCTGCGTGACTGGAGAGACATTAGGACTTTACAGAGCGAGAGATAGACTGTCTTATAACACACTCTTCCTCCCGGAACCCGGGACTACCTCAAAACCCACTCGTCGCCACATTGACAAACATGCACACGCCGCTGAGGGGCAAAATTTCAACTTTTTGAAGTTCGGCTCAAAAATCCAAACACATTGCGGAAAGGCTGAAGTTCCGATTCACAGGAGGAAAGGCGCGCTTCTTCACGGGGTTGTTCTTTTCAACTCGAGTTCCGAATGAACAATTTTGCCTTAATTGAGAAACACGCCGTCTTTGTTTACTCTCCCCTCCTCGCCATCTGTCTTTCGGGGCCTCGTCGTCATGGGTGCAGAAGCAAAACGCAACCTTCCGACTGTCTGTCAGCTTTCGGTGTTGGCACAACAATTCGTTGTTCGAGGGGGTTTTTTTTGGGGGGGGGGGGGGGGGATTCCTGCAACAAGCCCATGTGAAATGCAAGAGCTGGTTGTGCATCATTTCCAGAATCCATCCAGAGTCCATATAAAAAAACTTTTGATGGCACACCCTCTAAAAGTGATTTATAGAAATAAAAGACTTAATCTTCGCAAAGGAGGTGGGTTGGTTAATCTGGTAAAACTTGAGTAATCAGTAACGAGCGGGCTTCAATATACCCCTACAGGTGATTTTCCAGATGCCTTCCGTTAAATACGATTATTTTCTCAAAATGAATTGCGGCTTTAAATGTCCGTGGCTCAACCGATAACTGTTATTACACCGGCCCTTTGTGATGTTAAAATAGTGCGCTGCAAATAGATGAACAAAAGCAGCAGGTGCGTTGAACCAGACCCTCGTTGACCCCCCCCCCCCCTCCGGCTTAACAGTGTCGAACCATGACAACGGCCGTGTACGACTCGTGTCTTCGGTGCTTTGTTCATATACAGCACATAGGATGTCTTACCCAAAGTCAGTAGCACCATATTGGTGTGATGTGGGTAGGCTGGGGGGCCGGGGGGGCGGGGGGGGGGGGGGGGGCAGACATTCATGACATTCATGACATTCATGACATAACGCAGAGCGGTTAACTTCTCTCCTGACGCGTCTCCGCCACGATCCATTATTGTCACGGCAGGACGCCGAGGCGGTGTGCGTAGGCATGTGAAGGGGAGACGGGACGGGGGCCGTGCACCTATTTGAGGTCATTCTTGATCACTCCCCCCCCCCCCAATCTGCACCGGTTTCACCAGCCCCTCATCTCTGTCTGACCAGGAAAAACTGCACCTACTTTTAGTCTACAGCCTTTTTCTCCTCTCTCTCTCTCTCTGAATGAGATTTATTCTTTAAATCAGCGTTTTAAAAGATTTTTTGTTTTTATTTTGTTATGCCGTTTACATGACAAGCCTATTATAAGTTGTGCCTGACTCCGGGAACGCGAGCGAACGTCTTAATTTCTTTCTCGCTCTCAAATGAACTTGAATTGATTTACATGTTTTCATTGGAAGCAATAGTTTGACATTTAGCATTTGCTGTGAAAAGAGATTTATTTTTTATTCATTTTTTGCTGGGACGGAGGGTTTAATCATTCTCTGGGATTTTCAATAGCTCAAACTTAATGGCACATCTCCCCTGAAACTTTTGGATTTCTCCTCTCGTTAAAGCCATTTTTTTTTTTTTTTGCCTTTACAAAAACTAAAATCCTAAACGAGAGCTCAAGCTCACTACCTACAGACATCACTTCCACTTCCTGACACAACATCAGCTTGTGCGCTTACCGGTTATATGAATAAAGAACGGGGTATGCCTGTGTGCGAGTCACAGGTGAACAGGGAAGGATTGCCCCCCCCCCACCCCCCTCTCCCGCCTCTATCCCGCCCCCTCGCCTTTGGATCATTAGCACAGTTTCTCAATGTTTTGCTGTGAAGTCATATTGCAGTAATTCCCACCTTACAAGACGCAGCTGCCTACTTTGTGATAGAGAGTTGGTTTATGAAGCAAACACACATTCACGCCACGCTATCAGGCTCAAATTAGCTGGTCTCCTCCCCCACACACACACACGTACACGTCTCCATGGCGATGAAGGCCAGGGTGGTATGTGGCTTGAGCCCACACACACACACACACACACACACACACACACACACACACACACAGAAGCTTCAAACATTCTTTGAAACCTCTTCAGGAGTGCATCCTCAAGTAACATTTGCAGCTGCTTTCACTTCTCCATATATTTCCTTTCTTGTCGCTCTATTTCTCCAGACATGGAAAATGTTTATGAAAACCAAACTGAGATGAAAATGATCCTCCCTCCATGTGCTTTTGCCTCGTGAGTACTCAGAAAACAGATCTAATAATACTAGAGCGTGTGGGCGACCGGAGTTGTGGTTCTTGAATTTAAATGTGTACAGAGAAGATTTTGAAATAAAAATCTGTAAATAGAAAATGTAAATAAATCCTATATATGACAAACTTGCTTTGAATAAGGCGTCTTGCTGTGTCTACGTATTTTCTAAGAGTGTGTGTGCGCATTTGCAGTCAAACTCGAGGTGTGACACATTTCAATGCTCCCAGAATTTATTTTTTGTTTTTAAATACATTATATATGCATTAGCCCGGCCCCGGGCTAAGATCTCGCTAATGTGCCACGTGTAGCTAATTGTATCTGTTGGATTCACGCTTAATTCCCATACACACGGCGTAACAGGTAAACACTTCTTGCCTGATCCCCCAGGAGGAACTCTCATTGGTTAATGAGATCTATGTCTCTCTCTCTCTCTGTCAGTCTCTGTCTGTGTCTGTCTCTCTGTGTGCAGCTGTGTTTTTCAAAAGGCAAAAACCCACAAAACAACCAAGGCTGCATTCACTTCCAAATGAGGGAACATACCTGTGTGTGTGTGTGTGTGTGTGTTTTAACATGGAGCAGCCCACGGTAGAAGCTCCAGCACTCTCGTTAGGCTGACTGATGTTTACACAGGCAGCCAATTATGGAGTGCCGGTCACTGAGGACTCCAGTCACTTTGAGGGAAATTAAAAATACATTAAAACTAACAATGGTCGCAGGAAGGGGGCCGCTCGCGCCCATGCGCTCGCACACACACAAAAGATGAAAGAGGTGCCAGCAAAGGACCAGCTGGAACACACTATGAAGCAAAATTAATAATATATAGTGCAAATTTTAGTAAAAACCGACAGACTGTCACCATTATAGTATCGGCGTCTGCTGCTTACCCCCCCCACTCCCAGAATGTACGGGCCTGTAAACCACCGTCAAGGGCTCACTCTGGCAAACGTTCCATCATTCATGGATCACTAAAGCTCAAATGTTGAGGCAGACTTCTTTGCACATTTGTGGATGTTTAAGCCCTGCGCCCCAAATTCAATTTCATGATTCAATTTCTGAAGAGAGGAGCTGCACGGCGACGGCGTTTTTGTCACAATGAAGGATAACACGCAGATCGAGGACGCCTCTGGAGAGGATTTTTCTGATGCACTGCGGAGGCACTGGCAACTGTGATGTAAATCAGTTTCAATTTCAAGTTTGTGCCGAAGCAACGAAGGGAGACGCATCGGGCGCTGAATGGAAAAGCACTGCTTGCTGCTTATTTAATGATTTCAAGTTGGAACAAATGATGTATACATATACTGTAACACCTCCATCCCCGCAAGTCATTCTGCCCCCCCCCCTTCCTCGAGGCATGAACATGTTTTCGGTGTAACCACGGAAAGCGCCTTTAGGAAACTGCAGCTTCTGACTGCTTTGCCTGGAGGAGTCCTCGGGTTAAAGGTTAAAGGGTCATTCCTCATTTAGAGGATTCCTCTCTACTAGAATATAGGAAAGTTGTTTTATTGTATAAGCCAGTATACTTGGGAGGAGGACAAAGGGGTTTATTGCTGATCGCATTGTGTGATATTCAGCCTAGAGGTAGTGTTTAATTTTGGGTGTCATATTTCTCCCCGCATGCAATCTAGGTCAAATCAGGTGATGCTAATATCGCCCCGCCCCCCGTCACATCAGCGCTTGATGGCCGGGATGGTTCTGACAGCAGAAATGTGTTTCTCGTTTTAATCGTTCCCCCATCTCCTCCAGCTGAGGAGGAGGAATCCGAACTATTGCACTATTGCACACGTGGACCCGGATAATCCAGCAGCTAGAAAATGCAGCAGGCGGATCTTAGCAGAGAGACTGCCATGGTCACCGTGCTGGAGTTAGGGTTTATACTCTGCAATGTAAAATGTCCCATGTGGAATTGATGGCAGGATCCAACCCTCTGAAAGAAAAAAAAAAGACAAAATGCAATAGACATTTCTCACTGGAGTTGTCATAAGAAAACCCTGTTGTTGATTCCCGTGACTGCTGCTCGACTACACAATGATGTCACCACGTGGTGGAAATGATAACTGGATTTACAACATTTTAATACTTAAAAGACACGTTTTATTTGAGCCACTTGGTCCTGTAGTAAAAGTAGCTCAGTAATACTGGGACACTGACTTAGCTGGTGAAAAAGTGCTCCGCTCCTAAAGATGTGGAGCACTGTGTTCCGTGGAGATTAAATTGGAGGGCTATTTAAAGAAGGCACTTTATCTGAACTCCTGTAACAAAGAACGGATCTGTCCTCTAATTTCCTCCGTCACATTTTTTTTTTTCAAATCTGAGCGCCAACGACTCAAATCAAGTAACTATGCAGATAATTATGGAGCTGCGCAGCTATAGGAACTTTTGACACGGCAACTGTTACTGCCAGCGAGCGGCTCTCAGGCAAGTGCCTGAGAGCCGCTCGCTGGCAGTAACTATGATTCACACAGGAAGTGAATATTTATACTTCACTTTGCACAATTAGAGCATGACTAGAGGCTCAGGAGACCTGTGAGGAATATATTTACCAGATGAGAAGGCCGAACTCCCCAAATTAACTTTGACTCTTTACCCGTCACATCGCCGCGAACTTCATCGGGGCCGAGCTCCCGTCACATCCACTGCGCGTCTTCTCGTCGTCGCTGACAGCGCGGAGGTGACCGAGGCTGACAAGTCTTCTCAATGCACGTGTCGCCCCCCCCCCTCCGCCGGGTGCCTTACACCTTTCAATGTGAACAGGGTAAAATATGCTCTTTGTCTCACAAGAGGATGAAGGGGTTGTTTCTGCTGTGACCCCACAAGAAGGGGGTTGTTTTCTTTGCGTTGACATAATAGCAAGCGATGATTAGCCATCCAATGATGGGATGGAGGAAAGTCCTCCTGAGCGGAGAATGAAAGAGCTTCTCCGAATACCTGTCCCAGTCCCAGTGAGCGTGACCCAGTGGCCGATGGCCGCCACTCTGGTCCCCCCCCCTCCCCCCATCAAGTTAACACTGTTACACTTGTAAACGCCACTTATCCATAGCAAATTGTAAATTGGCTTATTTGAGGAAAGCGTCAGCTAAATGACATGTAATGTAATGTAATAAGCGCCGTTAGCTCCTAGCCACCAGGAATGCTCAGGATAGGGAGGTTAGAAGAGGAGAGTGCAGCGGCGTCCTCCGGTTGCCCGTCTCACTCGTAGCTGACAGAAATCTCACACGAATTGTTGCGTTTCCAGTTGCTACGCTCCACAATCCACTGCTCAAGTTTTCACGTG